GGAATCGTGGCAAGGTTTTGGAGTCGAATGCTTTTCCGCCATGTGTTTGGCGTGCATGTTTACTGTGTCCCCAGAAGTGAGGCAAGCCGGGGTTGTCGGTTGAGGGAACTCGTGTTGCTGTGATGCTGAAGACTGTGACAGTGATGTGCCAGTCATGGTAATGGGTACCCATGGTGGACAGTGTTGTCTGGAGCTTTCCGACTAAATCAAGCCTGGAAGCAGGAGTGGCATCCACTTCTGAAATGGCTTGCCTCCGGAAACTATGAACAGTGCTCAGGCCTTTCGTTCATAAGGTAGCTATGAGTCATCTACGACTCGACGGCACCAAACAACAACATACCTGCTTTTATAGAAAATGGATTTCTTAACCAATAGATGGAGCTTCCCAATGACCTCAAAAATGTGAGATGCCTTATAGTTGTTTTTCACATATTTACATCAAGACTAGCAAGACCACCTGACGTTCCTCTTGTGGGTAAGAACTGCAGGTGAGGATGCACCTATTTGATTCTTCTGGCATTATTGTTTAAGTGCTACCTGCTTCTATCATCTGAGAGACTCATGGCTTCTTGGTTTAGCCCATAATTCATTTTCATATTCTTTAATTTTCAGTAAATATGTTTAAATTATTCAATGAAGCATACCTATAGTTGTAAAAAATTTAGAACCTCTGCCCCAACATTCTCTAATTTCCTTTTCCCTACCATCAAGGAAAAATACACAAAGCAAAAACAATGTTATGGCAACTTGTGTAGTTTTGCATTTGTTTGTCTAAAGAAAAGGCTACAGCATAAAATCTCAAAGTATGACCTAAGTGAAATCAAAGCATTTCAATTGAACCTGGTAATAGCTTGAACTGAGCAGAGTAAAGAAATAATATGGACTAGTACCAGGAACATGGGGTCATTAATCTTGAGAGACAGGGGAGAAAACAACTCTACATTATAATAGCTTAATCATGTGATCATTTAAACAAGTAAAATACCAACAAGTTTTAAAAAAATACCGTCAAATTAGCACACAAAACAGAAATCCAAATAATATTTATATACAATTGAAAGTGCTTTTCTTTGATAAAGGGACCTGGATTCCCTCTTTTCTACTCTTCTGTGCTCTTGAGAATCTGTGTTCTTTATAAAGATAACTCAGGATCATAGAAACACAATGCCAACAAGGAATTTGGAGGTTAACTGTACCTTCCTTTCTAGCAGCCAGCAATCAAGAGCCCTTCTCATTAAGTTAAAAAAAACAGAAAATGGCATACAGAGCACATGGCAGTGAGCATCACTCTGAAAGGGCCAGAGAGAATAACATAGCCCCTCCCTGCCCCAGAGCAGAGAGCAGATCAGCCCTTAGCCCAGCCCCTTGTATAGAGCCTGACCAACAGCAAGGGGCTCTTTTATTTATTGCTGACTCACAGATTCCAGTTAAAGTACCAACAATGGTGTTTATTAGGAAAGAAAGTTGAAGAATAGGGGGGGCAAAGAATATCACAATATCACCCAAACTAAGTGTAGGGTTTAGCCCAACAGTTCCAAAGCATAACTCCTCAGTTAGTCCAGGCTCCAGTTTCAAGTCAGCAAGTAGCTTTTCCTTCCATCATTAAAGGGAAGGACACCAGTAACAATGTCTTTGATCTGTGGCCAGCACAAATACAAGAAGCCTCAGGTTGCACCTTGCTACCATTTGTCCACAGCAATACCAGTCTCGCTACCACCAGGGTCTCGTTCTCAACAGGGTCTTACTCACTGCAAGTCTTCCTGCTTAATGTGAGAGGCACTCTTTATATTGCTGCTTTAGCTGTTGATGATTAGCAAAGATCATGCTGATTTTCAAGACCATGTGTCTGCAGTTAAAGTAGCTGGAACTCAGAGGCGGCTAACTAATGGCTATGAAAAGCCAGTTTTACGCTAAGATCACATGCTTTCATCAGCAATCATGATACCTTATGCTTGTTTTGTTTTGAGTTTTGGCTCTACCTTTTATTACTGAGAGGAGCTCTGGTGTACACCATAGTTCATAATCCATTGCTCTGGTAACCAAAGGTGAAAGAGTATTAATCTATGAGCAGCTTTTGCCTTAGGGGGAAAAATGCAGTCTCCTCCCTTTAGCAAGGTCTAATGGTGATTGATTTTATTAAATATAATATATGAGAATGATTGTATGAAGCACAATTTGAATGAAGAATAGTATAAAGCACAAATGTATACAAATTTTGGAAGCCAATTTTTAAAAAAATTAGATGTACAATAAAATGTGTATGTATGAGTATATTGTATGAAATACAATGTAAATGAAAGATTGTATAAAACACAATGTATAGGAATGAAACATAATGTAAAGGAATTTCTATAGCAAAACTAATAAAAATACTAAAAAATCCCCAACAAAACCCAATGGAGGGTTGTTAAGGTTTGGAACTGCCTTTATGGCACTGATGTGGTGGAGTAAACCTCAGTGTTGAATACTATGGCTCTTTAATGAAATAGAATTTGTATGAAGCCAAACATAAAGCCACTCGTTGCTTTGTTTATTCTAATTCATATCATTCCTATTATGACATAATAGAACTTTCCTATATGGGTCTTCAGGCTATAATCTTTAGGGAGGGGGACTTCCTCATCTTTCTGTCTGAGAATGACTATTGATTTCAAGCCACCAAACTTTTGGTTAGAAGCTAAATGCTTTGGTAGTCTGTCACTTGAGCTAGTTAGGAATTGGCATGTGGTAATTATTCTTGTACCTCTAGAAGACAAAATAAAGTATTAGAATGAAATGTGCAAAGAGCTGAAGTTAGAAAATCAAAAGGGATGAGCTCATTATGCATTTATTAAGCTGAAGGAACTGAAGAACAAATTCAAGCCTCGAGTTGCAGTACTTAGGATGCTATGACAGAATATTGAATGACCCAGGAAGCATCAAAGAAGATGCAAAGAGTAGACAGAGTCACTGTACCAAAAAGAATTGGCTAACACATTAGATTTCATTAAAAACTTATGTACAAGAGGCGATGAAGGAGAAAGTTCAAGCTACTCTAAAAAAACTGACAAAAAACAAGTACCCAGGAATTGATGTTGTACCAATACACATATTTCAACAAGCAGATGCTACTCTGGGTGTATTCACCAGGTTGTACCAAGATGATATCTGGAGGACAACTACCTGGCCAACTGACTAAAAGAGATCCATATTTATTATCATTCCACAACTAATTTACCATAGAAATGATAACTGGGACACAAATGGAGATTTGTAAACCCATATTCATAGCAGTGTTATGTATCATCAAAGGAACATGGAAACAGCCCAAATGTCCAAGCACAACTGAATGAATTGAGAAATTGTGGTACCTACACAAAATGGAATACTATGCAGCACTCAGGAGCAATGATTTAAAAAATATTACATAACATGGGAAAAATTGGGAACATTATACTGAGTGAACTAACTCAGTCTCATAAGGACAAATACTGCATACCATATTTATTCCTATTCGAAAAAATAAAGATGGCCGAACAGAGTGTGAAAACTCTCTAGCACTATCACTAATATCACATGGAAATAAAATCCTGCTAAAGATCATATAAAAACAACTAGAATACTACATTGACAGAAAACTACCAGAAATACAAACTGGGTTTAGAAGAGACTGTGGCATTAGGAATATCATCGCCAATGTCAGATGGATCTTGGCTGAAAGGAGAAAGTACCAGACAAATGTCTGTGTTTCATTGACCATGCAGAGGCATTTGACTGTGTGTCTTATAAATAGATAGATAGATGATAGATGATAGATAGATAGATAGATAGATAGATAGATAGATAGATAGATAGATAATGAATGGACACATACAGACATACATACATACATACATAGTGGCTAATCTTGAGAAGAATGGAAATCCCAGAACACTTGTTTGTGCTCTTGAGAGACCTATACTCAGACCATGAAGCAGTCATGAGACTAGAGCAAGGAGACACTGCATGCTTCAAAATCAGGAATGGAGTATATCAGGGATGAGTCCTATGTCCATACCTTTTC